ATGCATTCGGGATTTTCTACTCACTTTTCCTGCCCACTCTCTAGTCTCTGCCTGGCGTGAATTGGAGCATAATTGAGAGATGTGTAGCAGCATTTCACGGCGGGTAGACTAGAGAGTGGGTAGGAAAAGTTATCAGGAAACCTGGGCTCCTAACAGTGGCAATTTGAATCCGAAACTGTAGAGAACTCTGAGAAAAAGTCACTGAGGCCGCATTTGTTTACGGTACATTCCAGTCTAATTTTGCCGCTGTCTGGATGGAGTGTAAAAAAATATCAAAGATTGATGTAAAACTCCGTTTTTAAATATTTAAACTCCTCCCACCACTCTATTGCTCGTAACTTCTCTTTTTTTTCCTCTCCCTCTAACTGCTCCAACTGTCAAGTTCCATTGTGGCAGAGAAAATATGAGTTTTCGGTCAGGCTTCAAGGGGGAAGATGAAGAAACGAGAAATCTTTTTCGACGATATTCAGTCACATGGCTTCTTCAGTCTATCACTATCCCATAACCTAACAACTCTGCCGTTTAGCATCATTAAATCTAGTTGAGCTCTGGCGACGGCGGTAAGAGAGAAAACTGGGGAGGTGGATGGTTAATTTTATAAGCATTTGCCTGGGATTGACATGATCTGCAACAGGGATATTTTAAGAAGTGTTGAGAAGAAAACAAAGATCACTGCCGGGTTGTAGGTTGGACAGCAGAGGAGATCTGCGACCATGGGAGAGGGATTGACCGGAGATGACGGAAAGGCCACCAATGCAAATTGGAAACTGGGTTTCGCATTCACCTATTGTCAAATATTTTTTTAGTGCCTTTGCATGAAATCAATCGTGTTGAGGAAATAGTTGCTTTCTTATTTTTTGGATTCTGTTCTACGTTAATTTCTTTTGTTGAATAAGTTAAATCATATTGAGGATGATTTTATTCTTCTCTTTTCTCTTTCTAATCTATCTGACTGGATCTAATTTTCTCTCATCATTGTACATTGTACTTTGAGCTAGTCTCACTTTCAGACCCGAATTTCAAAACATGTCAATCGGGTACCTGGACTTCCAAAACATCTCAATTCTGTCATTAGAAATCTGTCAGTTATTTGTATTATGTGATAATGTGACTTATCACTTTTGAAAATGTCAAAATTACCCTTTAAAATGAGATACTGCCCATCATCCTCTTCCTTAAAAATCAAGACTGAACCAAAGCAATGATGAACAACCCAAAGAACATTTGGATTTGGCATTTGGGTGGTTGATAAGAAAATTATATGACATTTGAAGGACATTTGTTTCCTTTCACATGCCACTTAACGATGGTTAATGATTTTGGATTAAAGTAGAACATTTTGGGAGTTCGAGTAGTAGATTGGCACGTAATGAAGTTCAGGTACTAAAGTGAAACTAGGCCCAAAGTATTAATCTGCAATTTATCCTAAATTTTTTTTTTTTTTTAGGGAGATCCGAAGATATAATAGTAATCATTTTTTTGTCAAAAAAGGGAGATTGCCTTATTAAATAAGAGGGATCGGGGTAGCAAAAGAAGAGAAGGGGAAGAAAGTATTAGATGTAATAAATTAAATTCAGTCCATTGACACTCCTACCCCCATAGGACAACTATAGCCGTACATATGAAACATCTCCCATCAATGACAACATACAGCATTTCCCCGAGTTCACATCTGCCCTCCACACAACGTGCCCCAAAAATGTCCCACATGCACATCTCAGCACGCATTGAGAACATCTCCCCATACTTGTCATTTGGAAATGTTCCCAGTACATGGTTGGGATGTGCTATGAGACATTTTTGGGGCGCATTCTGTGGGGGGCAGATTTGAACTCTATTTCCCCATGAATGACGAGTACAGGGTGTGAGGTTGCAGTATCTTATGGAGTTGTCCTAAAATATTGGAGTTGTCCTAAAATGCCAATGAAAAAGATTGGAAATGACATAATTGCCCAACTTCCTTCTCTCTAAAGCTCTATTGCCATATACCCTGCTATGTTTGGTTTAAGAATTCCACTATGATATAGAAAAGATATGATATGAGAAAACAACTGACCAATAAACTGGAATCATAAATGTGATAGCAAATAAGGTGTTATTTATGAAAATTCACGGGTGTGTTTTGATTGGTCAAAACTCTTTCCATATCATATATTTTCTGCATCATAGATCTTCCCTTGGTTTTAAAGAAAAGGTCAGAAAAGGTAGATTTTCCCTACTTTTCCTTCAAATCAAATATAGCCTACATGGAGATCTTTACTTCTTCTCTTGTGGTGGTATACCCACACTCCACCTCTATAGGTGTAAGTTGGAGTCTTGCTGTTAGTCCGTTGAATTCCAAGCAGTCTTCAATTCTGTCAGATGTTTTATGTTTTATGAATTTATCCTTCCTCTCTACAATCAATCAAATTTGGATAATGAAATCTCCATTTCAATATAAGAATTTTAAACATTATTTTAAAAGGCTTAAGCCTTGAGTCATGAGGCATATGTTTGGCGGCAAGTTGCACAAATTTTGTATTAAGGTTTAAGCCTCACAACTTTGATGAGGTTTAAGCCTTCGTAGAATGAGATGTAAGCCTTAACGCTGCATTTGTTTGTAGTGTAAAACCTCACCACCAGTTCAGTTTTGGAGTTTGTTTGCAATGTAAATCAATATCCATGTAAAACTCCACACTATTCAGGTTTAGATTTATTGGTGTTTGGATGGAGTGAAATTTTACATTATAAATTGATGTAAAACGTCACTTATGATGAGGTTTTACATCGATTATCAATGTAAAAACTACATCATCAAAATTGATGTAATACTACATCAATACGCATGTTTTTTGATGCTCAACAATTCAAACAGTCAGTGTGAAACATCACCAATGGACTTTCACATCGATGATGTTTTACACCACAAACAAACACAGCCTACATCTCAATGTGTGAGACAAAAAGGCGTAAGCATCAAATAATCAAATATAAAGGATTACTTCGTGACTTGATGCAAAAGAATATATTTTACACATTTTTATAGCTCAATATGTATGGGAAGAAGCACTTAAATAATTATGGGCCAAAGAAAAAAAATGTAAAAAATGAAAAACCAATAAGACAAATCAAGTTTACTTTCTATTTGTGTTTCAGGAGACTTCAATGCAAAAAGGGTCAATCAAGTTCTTAGTTTCTCTTGGATAAACTAAGTAAGATTTCTTTTTCTTATTGTTTTAAATTGAATAATTTGAAAACTTTAAGTTTTGAAACATGAAATATAAAATGGATATTATTTAATGTGAAATGCTTATAAAGTTATAATTGACTAATTTGAAAACTTTCTATTTTATTGATATTGGTACCTTCCATCATTCTAGGTACATTTATATGCTATTTTTATCAATTTATAAACTTTAATTAATTTTTTCTTAATCTTTGAAGCTTACACTTCGTAATGCCTTGAGGCTTATGCCTCACCTTTTTGGGCCATTAAGCCTAAACTACATATTTAATCTTTTAAAACCTTAATTTTGAAGGTTGTCTTTGATAAGAACAAGGATAAAATACTATGGAGAACCAGAAATCAAGAGTGAAGATATTTGGTTTTTAAAACAAAAAAAAAAAGTAAGAATTCTATGATTTATGCAACATGATATTAAATAAGCATATGAAAACATGTTTTTGAAACCAAAAATTCAAGAACGTGTTTCTAGTTTTGAAAACAAAAAACACATATACTCAAGAAGATATTTTGGTTTTTGTTTTGGGAAACAATTTGTTTAATTTCAAACTACATCGTTTTGATCTATTTTTAAAACTGGCAACAAGAAAAATAATTCATGTTGTAGATAACTCCTTAGTTTTTTTTTTTAATTTCTACAGTTCATTTTTAATTTTTATATCACTATTTGTATTTGATTCAAATTTTATGGTTGTGCAATCTATGTATTAAAGTCAAAGATTTTAGTTTTGAAGTTCATCTTATCTCTATGTTGGATCCAATTTTTTTTAGTTTTGTAGTTATGTGAATTCTTATATGAGTCTGGATCTGCTCCTCACACAAACCTCACAACTAGACCTGTTCATGGGCCAGGTAGCCTGATGGGCTAGCCCGGTCTGGCCCATCTTAAATCGAGCTTGAACAAAATTTTAAGCCTGTGGGCTCAAGCTTGGGCTCTAAAAATCAGGCCCGACTATTTTTTGGGCCGGGCTTGGGCTTTCCCAAATAAGCCTGACTCAAGCCCGACCCTGGCCCGATAATATTAAATATATAAAAGAAATATAATATATATGTTAATAATACATAATATATATTATATAATAATAGAATTAATAGAAAAAAAAAGTATTACATATATTAAATATATAAAATATTATATATCATATAATATATAATTAATATGTTATAAAATACCTATCACTGTTGGGCTTCAGGCTTGGGCCTGAGCTTCAAACTTTATATAGGCTCGGGCTCGGGCTCGAGCTCGGGCTCAGGCCTAGTAATTTTCTGTTTATAAAGAGGCAAAGCCCGGCTCGAACCCGGCCAGGCCCGACCCATGAACAGGTCTACTCACAACCATCCTAACCATACATTGGGAACATCTCCCATATTTTGTGTTGTTATTCTTGGGGAGATGTTCCCAATACACGGTGGGATGATGCTGTGAGGTTGGTGTGAGGTGCGCTTTGTTAGGAGCAAATATTCATGTGGGCCCATATCAATAACATAATATGAAAAAGGACAAAAAAACTTGAGAAACTTTTATAGTTTGTTGCATTAAAAATATATATAAAAAATGAAAAGAAGCTATGTATACCATCAAAATGAGTGATATAAAGAAGTAATACAACACTCTTCCTCACACTCTCAACCCAGTCCCAATACAAGCCAGGAAAAAACAAACCCAGCAATGTTTTAGAAAATCGGTCATGCTGCCATGGTGGATTATGTTAAATTTCAAAAGCAGATAGAAAACAAAAATAGCTGGAAATATACAAGTGAAAACTACTTGAGAAAATAACACAAAAAACATTTATTTCTGTGATAATTTTACATAACATAGCAGTTCTTATTTTGTCTGCTAAACGAAAGATTCTGTTGAAAATTGGTGGACCTGTTTTAGTAAATACATGTATGTTGTTACCATGCCAGCATTAAAGTTCAAGTGGGTGTATGGCCTACCGTAATTAGGCAAATAAGGGAATCTCTATATGGGTATTAAATAAAAGCTAGCTTGCATTTCTTCTATTTGTTTATCTATTCTATCATTATATAAAGTAAATACTTGATTATATAACCATACTTTATATCTTTGCCCTTAGTTGCACGTGTGTTTATGCCTGTACAGTTGCTCATAAAAATTCTACCCACATCTACCCATATAATATTACAGTCACACATGGAAAATATCTCATCCCCTAAGCTCTAACTACAATAAGATGCATTCAATTATTGTTGTCTGAGTTCTCAACTTCACATGGACCTGAATGAATGCCTGTAAAGCACCATCTATATCAGTCGACAAACTAACAACCTTAAGGGTCATTTCTAGGAACCTGACTGCATATGATCCACAAACAAACTGGCTAATGGGGATGAACTGATCCAATTATTGCTTTATTATATGGACCGCACTGCTTGTTAGTTACTTGAATGTTTTGCCTTTTGTCATTTGGGGTTCCACCAAAATTTGGTTTCCACAAGCTTTTGTACAGGTCGCTAAAATGAAGGCTACAAAAGTTAGGTGAAGCCTTTACGAGAAGAAGCAAATATCTATACAAGTGAATAACAAAATATGCACCACTGTTATTTTATCCTTCAGAAGTCATAACCACATGGAAAGTGGAAACCTTATTGCAGAGAAAAAGCTTTAGAGATTGAAGCTAACCTTTCTTGATCCACCCAGGAAAAAAAAGAAATTAAGATCCATCACTTACCCCACTCAAGTCTTTGTAGGGACAAAGACAGATGAGTTGTAAGGCCGAGGATAAAGTGCAGGAGACATAGGTTTGGTCTGGTGGAAGAGTAAGTTCTCTGCATCAGATCCTAAGTGTCTTCATCCTTTCTCCTTGGATGATTGTAGCAGTAACTGTATTTTTCCAAGTTATCTCAAAGTGGTGTTGGTTATTTAAAATTTTTCCAATTTACAGCCCAAAAGAAAGGCTTGCCGGTTGCTAGCAAACTAACCCTCTGCCCCTACTCCAGCAAAAGAAATCTAGAAGGAAATGCTAAAAAGTAAAAAAGAATCTACAGGTGTGCAGGGCAAGGCTCAAAGTATTGAAACACCCTGATAAGGGGGATGGGACCATCTTTTTGTTGTACAACTATCAAAACCACATCAATTCCCAAAATTGGAGAGCCTCCAGGCATATTTTTGTTAAATTGATCTCAAAAGCATATCATGCATGGAGCTCAATCAAAAGCTTTCAACTCCCAATTCATCTCCTTCAGTGGTTTCAAAGTTCCAAACCTCATTGCTTCAAGAGAAAGAAAAAGAATGAACCTCTGAAGGAGAGCAAAGAGCTGAGTTCTGCTTGAATCACCCTTTCTACATCAGAACTACCGGTGGACATTCCTCATGTACAAGATGGCCCCATTTCAAACCAATAAAACCATCAAGATCCAATTGTATAGACCCTAAAAGAAAGCTGGGGAACACTGAGAGTGGTCAGCAATAAGATTATCTCTCACAGTACTATCTGCTAAACAACCTTTGAATAAGTTCACAACAATCACTCAAGGAGCCACCTAATATGATCAATCCAATGATCTAGGCAGAATGAGCCTGCATCTGTAAAGTACAACCATTAGCAATTATTATTTCATTAATAATTGCTATAAGGGCTTCTTGGCAAGGGAAGGTCATTCAATCCTTTTCATTTTCTTGTTTCTTTATGATCAGAAAGAAAACAATATTATACTAATGAGTATAAGATGGGCCAAATGAAAGCCCTCTGCAAAAGAAATCCCTCCAAAAGTATAAACATGCTATACATCAGAAACCACTGGATCAATAATTATACCACGCCAATCATTAGAAAAAATAAAAACTCCAAGAAAATAGGCAATCAAAAGAATACTTCGTTCTTATAATTGATGACCAAAAAGATAAGAGCCCTTAAATTTTTTCAAAAACCTTGAAGACCTAACTAAATATACCGTAAAGAATAAGCTAATATGCTGTTACAATGTTGCCAAATACTCCAACAGAAAATGCTGCAAGGTTCCACAAAGTTTATCCCCCTCCTATAGTTTTTTTTATTGGTATCTCCTATTGAATTTAACCAAACAAGTCTAAGAAATTAAGCCAAGCTGCTTAGAATGATCCACTGGATTCTGAAAAGATTAAAAAAAATGCCACCAAATTTGCAAGAAGCACTAATAGTTTATCATGAGATGGGAGGCATGACCTGTTATTTGGAATGGAAGCACAAGTATAGAATGCCTCTCTGAGACTATGTCTATCCATAAGCTGATCAATGGTGAGACTTTTATTGACTACATTCATCACATAAAGAATAAGACCTTGGATAGGATATGTAGTCACCATACCCAATTCAAATATATCAACTTCCCAACCACTCAAAGAAAATATCAAGACTTCATGAAAACAGACATGTTTTATTGATCTTCACTACAGCCATTAGCATCCACATCCCAAATTCTTCTATCATTTCCCCACAGAGGTCTTATTTTTCTTGGACAATAAATCAACCAGCAAGTCCACTTACAGCAGTCATTCACATGGTGTCAAAGAAAAKGACTCAACATCACCTCTTTAACCACCAAGTCAGAGCATTTGATACCAATGCTCTCCGTGCTGTATAAGGGTATAACTGTACAAGACTGAAAGTTAGAGACTTATCCCCATACCAAGTGTCTTCCTAAAAGGGCTTCAAGTTAAACTAAGATGCTTAATAAGGAGAAAGATGCACAATGAGAGAGCATAGAAGTCATGTTGTATTAACTATTAGACAATGTTAAACGACCAAGAACTAGGAAGCAAGTAATGGCACGGAGAACCTAAAAATGGCTCAAAGGTCCTCATATGCTGTGCAACAAGAAAATCAAATGAATTTCTTCTCAACCATGTATGAGAAAATAAAAACAGGAAAATAACACTTTCAATGTATTGAGTTTAAGGGTAAAAGGAAAGACATCTAAAACGACAAACCTGCTTTGCAAGACTGCAAGCACAATCTGGTGAGTTCAGGATTTCATAATAGAACACCGAGAAGTCGAGTGCAAGCCCAAGCCTTATTGGGTGAGTGGGAGCCAAGTCGGCGAGGGCAATGTCCTACATGAAAAGAATTAGAGAAGAATTTAAGAACTAGGAAAATAGACAGACAAACAAATGTAAAAGGTGTTCCCCGATTCCCTTTCTTCTATGTTTTGCTTGATCATCGTTAAACAGTCAAATGATCATTTTTCCTATTTCTTCTTTCTCTTGTCGTGGGAAAAAAATGACATATGTTTCCTTATTTTGATCTCATGGTTACCTTGTACAAAGAGAGAGAGTCGATTAGTTTAACTTAACAGATAGAAATACCTCAACACAGACAGAGAGAGATGGATGAGGGTTTACCTCGTACAGAGAGAGAGAGATGGACGAGGGTTTACCTCGTACAGAGAGAGAGAGAGGGACGAGGGTTTACCTTCTACAAAGAGAGAGGAGCGAGCGTTTACCTTGTACAGAGAGCGAGGGCGAGAGGGTTCAGTGAAAGTCGAGATACTCGAGCTCGAACGAAAAAAAAAAAAAGAATTGGTAGGGCACGAAAAATACAAATTTTTGCCGAAGCTCAAATTTCATTCTGGGAAGAATGCATTCTGTGGCAAGAAATGAATATCCAAACACCTATATCTCATTCATTCTTGCCCATTCTTTTCTAGAATCGGCAAGAATTAAAAGAATGAAGCTATGGGCAATGAACCAAACATGGCGTAAGATGACTACATCAGGTTTTTTCGACCCATTTTCAAGTTATCCGTTCAATATATAGATTAGAGTTAGCAGCCAATTCAGATCCACTTTCAAATTACATTTATAATGTATGGATAACTCCTCTTGTTCTGTGCCTGTATAGCGTACTATAGTTATGGCAAAAAAATAATTAATTATTAATACATTTCAAATCTTTTTAGAAAAGAAAATTGAATAGAAATCAAGGTTTTTAAAATCGACCCGGAGAACAAATCGGTCAGGGGTCCGGTTTCCAAGTTGAACAATCAGCCCATTCTGACAAAAAAATTAAAAAATAGTCAAAATTGTTGAACGGTTCAAACGATTCAACCAGGGATCAATGGTTTGTTGACCAAATCAACGTCTTTTTGCAAATATCCGGTTTTGGGGAAAAACAAAACCGATCACCTGACCGATTCCTGGTTTTTCCGGTCTGACTGTCTAGTCTAGTTTTGAAAACCATGATAGAAATTATTAGTTCTAGGAATAATTTGATTAAATGAATAATAATATGATAATTGATAAAAATAAATTCATTTTGGGTAAATTGTAGATTAGTACCCTAAACTTTGGGGTGGTCTCACTTTAGTACCTAAACTTTGAAAAGTGCCACTTTAATACATCATTAATGGATGTTTGGCATCAATTCTGAAAATTCTTATCATATGTCTGAGGCGTATTGTAGCGATATCAGTTAATAATGTCCCATTAGTCATTCGTATGGCCAATACAATGCGATACAGGCCAATACGCACTACATCTATTCACTAATCTCCATAAAAAATGCAAATCGGGTGATTTCGACTCAGATCACCTAACATGCAATTAAACCCACTTTGATTCCAAACCACTAAACCACACTTCATTTCATGATATAAAGTGAAATAAAATAAATTTTATTGTTTGTGTTCACATGCAAAAAAATAATAGTATTATTGCTATCAAATATGAGGCTGAGGGCAACAAGGGAATATTGCTGGTGTCCGAGGCCGACAAGTCCGACCTGCAAACAAGAGAGAAGTACATGTTAGAGGTCCGGGTATTATCCCAAGGGTGGAGACTCCAACAGTCAAGTTAGCCGAGTGCTTAAGAAGGGTCGAACCAGGCTAAAGACGAGGGCTCAAAGCTTAATCCTTAATAGCCAATAATGGTTCTCTTGGGATTCTGAATGTAAGTGAGTAAGTGTCTTTACCTTGAGATGAGCACCCCCTTTTATAGCTGACCTTGCCTTTGAGTGGTTGGAACCAGTTGGTGATGTGCAGCCACGATTTGATCTAGCCAATGCCACGTGGCACAATTTGAGGCCCGCCAAGTATCCCTACATCACTTGCCCCCCCCATTCTCAAGGTTGTAGTGGTCGAGATCGGATGGCGTGTCGAGTGGAGACCTCGGCTTTGGCCAAAGAGAGTTCCATGTAGTTGCGTGGAGGCATCGGCCTCAGCTGTAGAGGACTCTTCTTGGCAACTGTGTGGTGACTACTTCCTTGTTTGCTCCCCACCTTAGTGGAGGATCATGATGGACCGAGAATGTACGACCATGGCCGGCATGGGTGTGGAACGCACATGTTTGTCAGTTGTGCCCCATACGGGTGTCAATGTCATCCAGTGTGAGTCTGTATGCGAGACGGACGTCAATGCTCACCAGTCGCGGCCATGCGAAATGGTGCGAAGGGGCATCCGGTTTGGGTTGCTCTTGACCCAGAGCTAACAGGTGAATCGGTTCATTCCTTCGGCGTCGTTTCATCTTCCCGAGGCTGATGCCACATATAGCTCGTCAGTTCGAGTTGTCAGATCGGCTAGTCCGTGGTTGTTGAATCAAAGAGTTATGAGCCATATGTTTTCCTTTAAATAGGGATGTTGGTTGAGCGAATTGTCGCCATTCGCTCGATCCTTGAGTCTTCGCTTGTGATCTCAAAGACCTGAGCTACCAATAAGCCAATTCCCTAAGCCTTCTTCTCTCACACAGGCACTAGGTAAAGGACTCCTGTCTTCAACATGTCGGTCTTAGACTCAGGACTTGAGTGCTATGAACTTCTTGACTAGAGTGACTATAGCAGCTCCTCTTCCACCTTGACCAATAGTGGGAGAGGCAGTAGTGACTTCGAGAACCCCTCTTGGGCGTCCAACGTCTGGGTAACTGAGGGAGAGGACCGCCCTTTGGGGAGTCGAGCATGACCAACGGAGCGTAAACTCTCCCAATAAAAGTACTGGTTCCACGAGGTCGAGGGCCAATGCCATGGGGAATGCCCCTGTGCTTCCTGAAGTGGTGGAGCTAGAGGAGGCTGAAGATCCTACACCTGAGGAGCGAGCCGAGTCCAAACGCTGAGGTGTGACATTGATGCACTATCCCCACTCTGACTTTGATAGTGATCTCGGCAAAGAGCAAGTGAGGGCTTTGTCCGAGATGTACAATGTCCCAGGGGGCTATAGGGTTAGAGTCCCCTGCTTAGGTGACCGGCCATGGCAGCCCACCGAGGGGGAGTTGTGTATGCATGAGCACTACCTCCACTTCGGCCTTCAGTTTCCTTTGCCTCCTCTCATCCCTGAAATCCTCAACTATTACAACATTTCCCTTAGTCAGCTTGCTCTGAATGCTGTTAGGACCATAGTGGTTGTGTTGGTGATGGCTCGCCTCTGAGGTGTGTCCGTGACCTTGAAAATCTTCTGGGGTTTGTTCTCCTTGAGGAAGCACTCCGATGGGGAAGGTTTGTGGTACTTCCAAGGCTGACGAGGTAGGGTAGTGGACAACCTATTGTCCTTCTACAATTGGAAGAAGAAGTTTTCTTCATTCATTGTCCATAGGGATGGTCCTTCCGATCTGACTGGGGGACGTCGAACTCGCTGGCCAAGAGGATCAGTCGTACAACAACGAGGAGTTGGCCATGGTGAATTAGATTAAGCTAACTGGGACAATTCATGTCAGACCCTTCATAACAGAGGAAGCCTTAGTGTGGGTTGGCCTTAGTCCTTCCCCCCTTGGTATGGGCACTCCTATCAGCTAGTTGTGTCATTTGCTTAACCTTCATTGTCTTTCTTCTAATGTTGATTGTCTTTCTTTATTGTAGAAATGGACGTCAACTTGAAGGAGAGGCTCCTATAGGCGGCAATGGCCAAGTCCAAGAAGGGCCTAGCCGAGGGGCCTTCAAGGAGGCCAAGTGAGAAGGAACTACCTCGGGCAAAAGGAACTGCCGATGCACCTCAAGACCTGAGGGTGAAGAAGGTGGCAATGAGGGACCACCGAGCCGAGGGTACTGTTAGAGGTTCTCGGTAGTCGGGGCCTCACTCCTCAGACCCGCGTGATGACATCCCGCTGGTGGTGCGTCAGGTGTTCCGCCCAAGCTAGAACGTCAGGGAGGGCAACTCTCTTAGCAACCCGGGCGTCAACCGCGCCTTGATCACTTGCTTGCTTCCCATTGGAGATCGACACTCATGGACCCAGGTCTCCCCCTAGGCCATTTGAGACACGCTGCTCGACAAGCTAGCCAAGGTAAGGCTTAATTTTCACTTTCTTTGTGCAACTCTCCTATTACTTAGATTTTTCCAATTGATATGGTCCTTGTGTCTTTGTAGACACCTTCCTGTGTTATTGGCCTCTGCGACAAGATGGAGGTGATGCTACAACAGCTCTGGACGTTGTAGGAGGAGAACAAGTAGCTAAAGCGCCAGTTGGCCGAGGAGCGGGCCAATTGAGAGGTTGTCGCCAAAACGGCTCATGGGGAGCATGAGCATCACAAGAAGCTCGAGGGCAAGGTGGTGGCTAAAAGGGAGCAACTGAGGGCTGCTAGGGCTTCATTGGACGAGGCAAAGCAAAATCTTCAGGAGGCATATGTCCGAACCGTGGAGGAGTACAAGGCCTCCAAGGCCCACAAGGAGGAGTTGGCTGAGTTTGATGCCTCTTCTTAGCTGGAGGGGATCAAAGACACTCGGTCTCAAGTGATGGCATTCTTCCCTGACTTTGATGTCAGCCAGTTGGGCCCTCGTCTTCCGAGTCAACAAGCGGCCGAGGTGGTGGGCCAACCAAGGGCCAAGGCAGCGCTGAGTAGCCTACGCAGCAAGAGGCGACCAATGAGCACGCTGACATTGAGGCCGAGTGAAGATGCTCGTGTAGGGTTGAGGATCCTTTTGGGATTGTTCTTTGATTTGCTTATTTTCTTCTTACTTTGACATACTTTTTTTGTGAATATACAAACTTTTTTGCTAGATTGTGTTTTTTTTTGTCAAAATTATGCCTTTGTCTTTCTTTTCTTTGCCTTTTCTTTTCTTTCACGCAAGGGGTCGATGCCTCCCCAGAAGAGGCGTATTTTGCAAAGAAAACTCATAACTCTCGACTTAGCTACTCGTAAAGGAATTTCTCTTTAAGGTTGTTAAGTCAAGGCCAACCTTTGTCACCGAGGTCTCAAGACCCTCTTCCTTAGCGAAAAAGGAAGGGAGGCAATTGCCTTAGCCTACCTAACATATTCTTCTATAGGGACTTGGAGACTGAACTCACATGTGGTCGAGGCTCAGAGAATGGTGTGTGGCCGAGGTCACGGAGTGCCTTTGCCTTAGTGGGGGTAGCATTACTCGTTTAGCATATTTGTCCATCATGTTTTGCATTAAGTGATGGGCCAATATCAGCTCTTTTGGCCTACATAAAGACTCGCTTCTTTTGAGGGTCTCTGAGGCCAAGGCCAATGTCATAGGCCATTCATTAACAATGGTTGAGGTTCCAAAAGTTCTTGCCTTAACTAAAAAAAGGTGAATAGGCGTATGACTCTCCAAGAGTCATGTGCCTTGGGTCATCATCTAGTCCGAACGTATTGAAGGTTGTGTGCTACAGTTGGTCTTTCGGCCGAGGGGTCTTGGAGATTAGATGAAACGAGAACATTTACACTAAGGAGACTCGAGCCAAGGTTAGAGGAACTTGTACACTTTATTCACAAAATTTCCACTAGCCATATTTACATCATTGATAATACATCCAGAGGTTCTCGGAGTTCTA